CTTTAATATACAAGTAACAGAATATATTGAATATCCATTCGTTACAGAACACGGAACGCCCAAAACATAGTATTCCATTACATAATCATGATACAAATATATACAGCCATAGTAAGCACGACTAATATCATATTCCGTGAATTAAACATTGAATCCGTCGTTTCGTGCATGCGACTGTTTTACGCGGGTTCGCCCGATACAAAATTCAGGCAAGGCCCTGTTTATCCATAATGAAATGCGATTAACTTGTATAGAGATACATATTAATGGGACATTTCCAGGCAGCTTTGGAAAAATGTTACGTAATAACAGAATTGCGTAGATACATAACACATGTATAAGGATGACTGAATTACTTAATTATAGAAGTAGGCTCCTGGTCTACATGCGTCATCGTGTTCGGTTATACGCAAAGACTGAAATAGACGGCATTTCATAATGTTTACCTAAAAATAACGATGGAAGGGATGGGAACGGCCATTATCACAAATAAGGTTACATTTCCAAAATGATACTTCGTATCCAATATTAATTTTATGAAATTAGAAGCACTCTAAATTATACATTGTCTATTAAATGTATTTCTAGTATTTGATCTAGCTTTCATATTAAGTAGGGAGGCAGTGAATCAGGGTTACTTAAAATATTAAGGTTTGGATCGTTTATTTAATTATAGGTAGAACAATAAATCTGCTTAGTACCGCCATAAGCCTTAGCTTCCAAAGGATTATTCGTTGCCGATAAATTGGAACCTGTGATTAAATTGATTACGATTTTATTGTATTGTAGGTATGTAAAGGTAGGTATTTTTTATCAAATCAAGAATCTATTACGTGGTTAATATTTATTTTTGGTTGACATTGTGACCTGTTTGTACGTACGTACATACGATCATCCCTCGATTGGTTGGACCGATTTTGATGTGGTTCAGAAAACTGTTTGTTGTACTTAGTATATGGTTTCAGTATATTAAGGCTTTGACAGCCAATAGAAAACTGTTGAAGGCAAATCCTCCACTAACGTCGGTCACCGGTGACCCTCATGGCGTTCAATATGTTAATTAAAGGACTTCAAAATATTCTAAACATATTATTTTGTCTATAATAAAGCAATATTTTATATATTTTTGCAATTGATATAACTCATGTGATCAAAGGTTTCCCCTTTTTCCTCAATTTAAGTTTTAAGTAGCAACAGATTCTTTAGAATTGGAATTAAATATTTCATGTTGTAACTTACCTTCAAAACTGCTTCGATGTCGATATGTTAAAGATAAACGACATTTACATTAAAATTACGTTTCTATGAATTATTTCATTTTCACTTACTTAATTTAATACATACATACATAATTTACACACTTTACTCACGTAAATATACCGAGAAAAGTTCTCGATGTACGACCGCGCACGCTGCTTACGAAGAAGAGTCCCTCTTTGACTCGAAACTAGTAGAGTTTTTCTCAACATAATTACGTGGGTAACTCGTAATTTTTAGTTAATTGAGCATGTCTCACGATAGTTTTTATAAAAACAGTTCTTTCTTTGTTATTCCAGTGCGTATATCAACGTCCATTTCGAGATAATTTTACGACCAATAACGAATAAATCCTTTGTGCCTATAATATTAAGTAATGAAACCGTTTTTGTATTCAATCTGAAACTAAAGTACTCACCGATATTTCTTGTCTCTATGCCACACAGAAATGTGTAGCATCTGATGGTCGTAGATGGCTGTTGGTAGTGGAAGCTTCAGGTGCCTCTGGAACTCCGGTTCCCGTTTACCATACAGCACTGAGGTCCTCTGGAAGATCGACCGTTGAGATGGAAGGGACTGACTCTCTGTAACTCCGCTGATTACGACCTGATGATGAGAGAGTAAAACTCAAGTCATCATAGACAGGAATAATGTTTATGAATCTTTTAAGACTGGCTACTACATAGGCGAAAAAGTTAAGAAGAACAAAAATTAATCTATGACGTCCATCAAAAATTACCACTAACCAAAGTGGCGAAACGCAGAAATACTTTAACGCACCATTCGCATTTCCATTGCCAATAAGGAGTAAAACAAAAAACGATTTAAGGAATGCTCTCCTTCAGTAAGCGAAGCCGTAAAATAATTTATAACCAACCTTCGCATAAGCATTGATGTCATCCGTTTTCCCTGTAGTCCTTTGTAGGTCCCGGCATCTTATAACTGTGGACATAAAAAGGGGTTATCAAATCCTGCACAAATGGGTACCATCATAATAAGAAGATGTAAATGGAGGTTGATAGTCACCACTCACCGTGCACGTCTATTACGTCATTTCTTGTCCTAATTTCTAGGTCTATCGTGCCTTTTAGTGCTTGGAATCTTTCGCTAGAACGCTCCAATCTGTTACTTGCTACGCTTCTCCTCTTCTCTTCACTACTACTAATGCTATTCTCTTCTGGAGAATATGTCAAACATCTCCGAATAGATTTGTGTTCAATGATTGGAGTGTAAGCATCCGTTGGAAGTAAATCTTCGTCTAATTTACTCGTTTTATGCGCTCTTTCTTCGCTTAGCACTTTGCCAGGTCTTTTAAGGTTAGGAACAGGAGTTATTGGGCTTGGGATACCATGTTCCAAAGTAAGCCCGAATAGTTCTCTTGATTTCTTGTTATGAGAATTGTCGTAAGGCATCAAGCTACTGTGTGACACGTTAGATTTTATGGAAATATTCTGATAGTCGTCATTGTCAAGTGGGTTAGATAGAGGAGGGCTCAATGGCTCACATAATGATGTATCAGGTAGTTCGGTTGCTAAACTTGGTATTCCTATTTCTAAAGTAAGAATTGAAGATTTTAAATCCTTATTCTTCCACTGACTTTCATTGCTTGCTGTTGATTTTTTCCTACGTATGCATTTTTGCCGTTTAAGTCTAAGACTTGCCCTTTCTTCTGCAGCTGAGTACAGGTCAGGTGTTGATTCTGATGACATATATCCGAGGTTTCCTCGTTCATAACAAAGATTCATGGATTGTGATCTGTTTAGATTTGTGGCGCGTTTTCTTGGACTGGCCTTACGTTTGACATCAATAGCATTATCTGGTGTTCGAACTTCCCTTTCGTTGTAACCATCCCCATCATCTAATATGAAACAGCCAATTGGAAGGTTTTTCAGTAATTTATCATTTACTCTGTGTACTGGCATTTTCTTTATTGGTGTAGTTTTAGGTGATACAGAGTTTTCTCTTGATAAATTCACATACTTAGCTTCTTTTATTAAATTTGTTTTGTTCTCAGCTTGAGGATTTACAAACAGGTCTTTGACTGTTTCTAGTGGAGGAATTTCTTCCTGAATATCGAGTTCTGGTGCTTTTGTCAATATTCTTCTTTTAGATTTAACTATTTTTGTACTTTTTATAATGTCTTCAATCATCTTCTCAAGCGTTACATCTCCCATTTGTGTGGTTGATACTGTTGAGTCTGTATTGTTAGTTATGGAATCTTTGCCCAGGATGAATTTGTTCTCCATTTCTGTGGAACTTTCTTCATCCCTTAGGGGAATAGTAAAAGGATTCTCCACCTTAGGAAAATATTCCGTGACATCATTAGTGAAAGCGACCCTTTGAGACTTGCTATGCACACTCATGGTACTAAATCTTAATGCTGCCAGTTTCGTGGATAAAGGAGTGATAGAGACAGGTGAGCATCCATCTCTTACTAGCGTATGAGTATCCTTTTTGTCCACGGAAGGTGATTTGAACGAACTTTCGAAATCGTTTGATTTCTTCCTCGTTCTTTTTAAAGGTCTTATATTCGTGAGACCGATATCATTATTATTAAAATATAAGGGATTGTCTGTAAACATGTGATGTCCGAATATAGGTAAAGTGGTTTTCTCTATAGTACTTTTGTTTATTTTAATAGGTTTTTCTATACAGTTTATTACTAGATCTTGATCGTATTCTATTTCAACTAAACCTTCGTTAGCTGTTTTGGTTGTACATACTGGTATTTTAGTTGGTTTTCCTAAAGCAAAAGAGTTTCTGCTGCTTGTGGTTGTAGCACTTAATCTATCTGAAAGATCGGTTAAGGAAGGTTCAGATGTACTATGGCTTAGTTTAGGACTAAAAGAGTTTCTATCTATAGGCTTAATTCGTCTTTCAGACTTGTATACACAGCTATCTCTTCTGAATACATCATTGGCACTAGCCATTTCTAGTTTCCTTTTCTTCGCTTCTCTTACCCTCCTGCTATAAGTTGGTGGAGTAGGAGGTAAGTCTGGTGGTATATCATCTTTGGAGTTATTTAGATAATATTTTCTTCTCTCATAGCTTTTGACTGGAGTGCCTGTTGGTGTGATGTTGCTGACATCTTTTAGGACTAAGCCTTCTGGCTTTTTGATGAAACCTTCTCTAAAGTAATTTGGCGTGTTCCCTATATAGTTAACGTTTTCTTTGTCTACAGTTCTTATGTTTTTTCTAACTGCAGTAGAGCCTAAGGATCTTCGCTGGTATCTGCTGGGCTTTTTGCTCCTTTTAACAGTTTGTCCATCGAGAGATCGTCTGATTTTGTTGTTGTTGTAAGGTTCATCGCTATAATGATCGCAGTCTTCGCTTTCGAGGTCGTTAGCAACCCGAAGTTCCTGGTTCTTTTTACCGTAAACCGCCCACTTCAGCATTTTGGATCTGGAAATAGAGAAATTGTTGTATTAGAAGTGAGTCTACCTCTATATAACGAATTCGTTTAAGTTTACGTTACAATTAATATTACTCAGTTTATGTAATGAAAGTGAGAACAATGATGATACCTCTTAATTTCAGCCACTAAATATACTATGTATCCTTAATCTAAATCCTATCTTAAGTAAAGACTAACTAAACCAACAAAAGTAACTAATGACTCAAAGCAATTATCACAAAGCTGTTCGCATTAGTCATGTACGACAGATGTCAGCTCGGTTCACGTAGGCAATGAGCGATTATGTATTCACATGTATAATGTATGGGACAAACATTGACTGATTGGAGGCGACGGGGCTTGTCTTATTGTAGAGATGTGCGGTTTAGGAATGGGTTTTTTTAATGTTAGTTCTCAATAATGTTGGTGAGAATGTTTTTTTATGGCATACGAGCATACGGATCACTTGATGGTAAGCAATCGGCGTCGCCCATGGACACCTGGAACACCAGAGGCGTTACAAGAGCGTTACCGGCTTTTTCGGGATAAGGAGTTTGAGGATCGTTGGGATATAGGGATTGGGGAGATTGGGGAAGGGGAGAGTAATTGGGCCTCTGGTAACCTCACTCACACGACGAAACACAACGCTTCCCGTCAGTTTTCTGTGAGGCCATGGTATCACTCCAGTTGAGCCGGCCCATTCGTGCCGAAGTATGGCTCTCCTACACTTTATTTTTTTTTGGTTTAATTAATGTTGAAGAATTACTTCCGAGATTTTAGCTATTTTATAGCAGACAATTCGTTTCTACAGTAATAGTTTTGGGGTGAATTTGAAGCTAATCTGGTTTTGTAAAGGTTCCTTTCCTAGGGAAAAGTGTGACTGAATACTTTTTAGTCACATTTTCAACCCATCTTTGTTAATTGTATATCTGTCTTACTATCTATTCCTTTATAGCTCTGTAACTAAAAGTTGAAATTAATCAAGATTCATTGTCTAGTCAATATAGCTATTCTGTATTGATTTTCTCACGTAAGACCGTCATATTGTACTTGTATTTTAAAAGAACAAGCTAAACTTCTTCGTCTCGGAGTCATTTTTTCACATGTTAATAGGAATTCCTTAAAAGTTTCAGTCTTATTAACTGGCTAAAAGCTTTTTACCGGACACTTGGGCTAAAAAGACGTAATATTATATACCCATTATGTAGCTCTTGAATAACAATAATAATTTTAAAATGCAAAACTGAATTCGCGCATTGTACTCAAGAATACGTTCGGCTGGAACTGGTCCTAGCCTCTTGGTCATCTCAGCTCTTCTTGAGATCAATATCTCATGAACCGAAAGCTTTTAAATGAATACAATACAGGACCCTACACAATGGTACTCTACTTTAAAATAAAATTACTCATAACATGCCAATACATTGGAAATTCGAATTTTTTAAAAGGAACTTGATGTAATGGATATTTGTAAAGTTCGTGAAGATTGCAAGTGTTGATGGTTATGCAATACTGTCGGATATCTTGGTCATTTATGTGTATGAGTTGTCAAGGTCTATCAGTAATTCGATCACACGATTATTCCGGTTTTTTAATGCGAAACTTTTTTACATATATGTACGTCTTAAACCATTTGTTGCATTAAAATTTTGAACTTTATAAGAAATCTAATTTTTAAGTTTTTTATCTAAAATATTAAATGTAAATATTAATCCTAATCCTTTAATTAACTAAAATCGTAAGTTACTCACGTTAATATACTGAGAAAAGCTCTACTAGTTTCGAACCGGTAACCCGCGATTTTAGTTAATTTAGAATGTCTCACGATAGTTATTATAAGAATCTTAATCCTTTTCAGTGAGTTGATCCCAAAACAGGCCAAAAATAACAAAATGTAAGCATACCCATGCTCTTTGTGGCTTACAGAATTGATATGGTTTTTCATGGCATAAAAACATTGGAAAGTAAAGCAACATCATCGACTATACATAAACTGATTTCCCCATTCCTCAGAACATCGTTAAGCTCGTTTCCTACATAAACCAGATTACAGTAACGTTCGGTTCTTTGATGTTGCACGGTTATTCTAAACTCGTGTTTTGTATAGAACCGTAATTGTAGGAGTAATCGGACATTTTAGTGATGTTCCTGTTTGAGTTTTATTGTTTTCAGTATGTGGTCTTGTTAAGGGGTATTGTATGTCTATATGGTTTATTTTATTAAAACCTGTAATTTGAAAGTCAGTTTGTGTTAGGATTGTAATGAGACTGAAAACAGGTACCAAAAACATAACATCACGCATCTATCCCCGAAGGGGTAGGCAGATGTACATACTCATAACATTATGAGTCCCATGTGATGTCCCATGGGGGTGAAAACAGGTAATAATGGTGATAAGCTAATTGGGTTGTAATTCCTTAATTCAAAATAAAAAAGAGGTGTTGCCATAAAAAATATTAAATGCTTAACTTTATTTTTCAGTACCTATTTAAAAGACACAAAAAAGCCAAATTGTATTCAAAGCCCTAATTCTGAAGTCGGAACACATGTGCAGTCCAGTCTACCCCACATAAGTCTCATCCTATAAGAAAGTCGTTACTTCGCATATTCATACAGATGCTGCCAGTCAAAGGGGATTGTAAGGGGGACTGAGTAAGATAATAATGACAAAGATCCACGATGGTGGTGTCCGAATATATACAAAACTGAAGAGCTTGTTTGAAATAAAGATGAAATCATGCATAGATATCAACATAGAGGTTTTATATATATACGGAAATGAGACACTCCAAAAAATCTGTAAGCGTTATCAGGATTTACTATAATATCTTAGGGAGCAGCAGAATTACTATTTTTTGAATTTTGAATAGTGAAAAGCTCCAATATAAATCTATTATCTGGGATACTATATGACCAGATCCACGAGTAGTCGATCTTAATGCTATTACTGGATATTACCATGTTTTACTGGTACGAGATGAAAATGACACCATCAATACGGTAAACCACACGGTTAGAACTTGTGGCATATCATAGCGTCGCCAATTCGGTATGTGTGGCCAATCCGTTCTGGAATACGAAGCACGCGCCTAACATCATCCATTTTAGTTTTTTCTTAGATTCGTTATATAATAATGCAAAAACTAGTGAAAGCTATAACCGATACTAATCGATTATGACGTTTGTAACTCCTTAATTGGTTAGATTGCTAATTGACGTGGTTCTGTTATGGTTTTCTTCCGTGATCTCTTAGGTAATTTTATTGAGCGTACGATGAGTGGTCTAAATTGTAACTGCCAGATTCCAGAAGAATTGATTCGCCTGTGCCATGTTGTTATGAGATTTTAACGAGTGTAAATAACTGCCAATGAATGTTAACATCTATTTTATGCAATGGCAGTTATAATTTTAAAATATGCAAACTTTAAGCCCACGTGCTAAGTTCCTTTAGACGTAGGTAATTTGCAAAATAAATGATTCGTTAATTTCTAAAAAGGCACGCCCTTGAATTGCACACTTTCATTAAAAGCTAATCACAAACTAATCGCTTAAAAATACAATCCTATGCGCACATTATTATGCTAAGTCATACACAAAAATTTTCAATCTATTGTCGCATATTAAATATGGCCGATTTCATCTTGGTTACGGGCCAGGGCAATAACTCATGTTTCCCGCTTTACTTACCAAATTGACTGTGTAATTAGAAACTCGGTCGGTCCATTCATATCCACGCACTGTGACAGACTCATGCTGGGCAAGAAACCAGTGTGTACACAATGCGAGTCGAGAAATTCGCGTACTAAATACAACACCGCAAAAACAGGGCGTACTTACATTATCCTCTCCCTACCTATTCAACACCAAATTACTATTGAATTTAAAGATTTTTCTGAAGCATTTTTTAATATCGAATGCACGTCTCGACTCGCGAAACGTGGGGTCGCCAAACAAAAAAGTTTCTTACTCAATGCACAAACTCCAACTTACTCGTCGATATACTTTTTAAATGACAAACTCTCCTACAAATAAGGTTTAGATTCAAGGAATAAATACTTTTTGGAACGTATGGTGCGTGCTGAACGTCAACGTTACTGGCTGAATAGAACGGAACACGTTTTAGCAGATTCTGAATTTGAATCTTTCGAATTTGCTGAGCGGTTTCTGGATAATGCAAAGATCACTGAAAAAGCTTATTTTAGCGAAATGAGACTTTATTCTGTTCTAATAAGAGTCTTGGAGTGCGCATGATAGATAGATAACATTGTGAGATACCTTAACAATTGAAATTGAAACTTCGTGCTGTAAAGATAAAGATTGTATTGCTTTTAAGATAAATATCAAAGAGGTCCATCAGCTTTGTCTTGAAGTTCTCTGGCAAGATGGCCGGATGTTTTTGTCGTCTAGAATTGAATTTAACAAATTGTTAGTGTGTGTTTGTTGTCTGCTTTATAAGTATTTATTTAGTTTAGTAGCACATAAAGGTAAAAGATTTTCTTGTATTCCCTTGTGGAAATATTTGCATTGAGTTTGCAGGTAGGGAAAATAGGAAGTTAGTGCATTATTCTTGTGCTTTTCATTTGAATTTTTAAGTAAGTAGTTTCAGTTTCATAATAAATTTTTTGAAATGTTTTAGACCCACTTCGAACGCCTTCTTCTACGAAAATATTTCTCCATTCCCATAACCTCATACAGCGTACAGTCGACACACCTTATCCTTCACCCCAAAATTCAACCTTGTTGCTACAAAAATAAAGTCGCTTTCAAGGTCAAAAAAGTTCTATTGACATTTCGTTAGACTGTACGAACTTACGATCAAATATTTATTAGCACATAATTTATGGAACAAACGTTAGTTTGTCGGTTGGCCGGCAGGTGGCGTTGTAATGAATAATTCAAGAAATGCACCCGTTTGTACGGAACCCAGGGTTTTATGGTCCAATAATGGAATTCAAATGTTGTCATGTTTTGGGGACATTTCCGAATATTATTGGTTCCGGTGTGACGT